CGATTGGTGCTGGGCATCTGCACGCGGGCCACCTCCAGCAGCAGCAGCTGCTCGAAGGGCGGCCGCCTCCTGAGCGCTTCAAAACGGGAGGCGCTGCCCTCCGCCAGCACCTGCATCGCCCCCTCCCGCGCCGACTCGTACCAGGCGCTGCGCGGGTGCTTCTGCACGTACGGCAGCCAGATCGCCTCGGTGGGCGACCGCGCCACCGCCACCTTCCCATGCGCCGGACAGTGCAGCACAAAGGCGACGCAGTCGTAGGTCTTCTGGAAGACGCTGCTCANATGGCCTCGGTGGGCGACCGCGCCACCGCCACCTTCCCGTGCGCCGGACAGTGCAGCACAAAGGCGACGCAGTCGTAGGTCTTCTGGAAGACGCTGCTCACCGGACTGGAGGGCTCCAGGTGGGGCGTGGCCAGCTCGCGCTCCAGGTCAAAGGACTGCACGCTGCGGGCGGGGCTCTTCGACGGGTGGTGGCCATGACGAGCTCCTCCTCCACCTGCTGCTGCTGCTGCTGCTGCTGCTGCTGTGGTTGTTGAAGCTGTTGCTGCTGGGGACTGATTTGCAGGAGAAGTAGGAGGAGGAGGAGGAGGAGGCGGGGTTCTTGGGGCCGCTGGTGAAGGACAAGGAGAGGGCGAGGCTTTGGAGGCGGTGGATCGAGGAGATTGACAACTTTGCTGCGCCTGTTGTCTTTGCTGCTGCTGCTGCTCTGACTGATCAGACTCTTGCGGTGGTTGTTGTTGATGATGATGTTGATGTTGTTGATGCTGCTGCTGCTTCTTCGCCCCCTTTTTGCTGTTCTTCTTTGATGTCCTTTTTGATGAGGTTTTAACCCCTTTCTGCTGCTGATGTTTGAGCTTTCCCTTCGCCTTGCCGTCCTTCTTGGAGAAGATGTCAAACAGGCCCATGATCTAGGAGATTTGGACTATTGGAAGAGACACCTGGTGTTGTGAGTGAAGAAGAGACCGGTGGGGGATGACGGTGATGGTAGTTAAGTTTTAGTTCGAAAACATCCACCTTTTCATCAATGCTAAGCAGTGTACCTGCAGTTTCATTTGTGTTGTAAACTAAAGAGAACTTTTGATGAGTTTTCGAACAAACTTGGAGGCCTCAATTATTACTCAGCACCAAAAGTTCTACTTCTTTTTTGCCTACGGTCGTTAAAACAGTCACCTCTAGCTAGTTGTGCGTCATTCATTGTACCTCGCGTCTCCAGGTTTTCTTTGTCGTTAGTTACCGTCCCTCACTCTCTCTCTCTCTCTCTCACTCGCTCTCTGTTCACCCCAGTTGACAGGTCTTTGGTCGTTTTGCAGGTCCAGTACAAGAAAAAGTACCTCAGCAAAGCTCATTTCTGCAGTTCACCCCCACCCCCACCACCACAATGAATGACGACTACCCCTTCAGCCTGGGAGGGCATAAAAATGATCACTCTTCTTCCTCCCTGCCTCCGGACCACAGCGGCACTCACGAGGGCAACGGCACCGAGCCTAACAACGAGAACAGCGGCGGCGCCACCACCGCCCTCATCATCGTGGGCGTGCTCGTCGGCCTGGGCGTCGTCGGCCTCCTCGTCTACTGCTTCTTCCTCAAGGGCGACTCGAAGGGGGGCAGCGGAAAGAGCGGCGCCGGCGGCGGCAAGAGCGGCAAGAGCGGCAAGGCCGGCAAGAGCAGCAAGTCGAAGAAGGGCAAGTCATCGAAGAAGTCGGGCAAATCGATGAAGTAGTAGTGCCCGACGGTGCTCGTGGCTAAATTGCGCCGCCACCGCCGCCGCCGCTTTGATTCATTCCGAGCACCCACCACCCACCCCCAGGAGCGCGAGTGGAACGGGTGGTCATTATTAGCAATTTCATTTTGTGTTTTTATTATTACTTTGATTTTTAATATTAAAAATGGCAATCTTTGCATCCTTTGCCATCTGCTTAGGCGTCTTTTGCTGGTGAAAAAAACTTTCTCAAAAAGAGAGGCGTCATATTCTCTGCACACGTACACACACTGTTGTTGTTGTTGTTGTTGTAAGTGTTGCTTACGTGCTGGTGCTGGCCACGCTGGCGTCCTCGCAGATGAGCCAGTAGGTGCTGAACTGGCCCTTGCCCTGTACGCCAAATCCCAAACAATCAAAGTTAACTAAACGATTAAAAACCACACATCTTACACCTCACCTTGATGGAGACTAGTCCTTCGCGTTCCTCGAGTCGGTACCCGCCCAGCTTGTCCAGTATCTGTTTGCACGAGTAGCTGACGTGAATTTTGTGTTCTGCGCCGATAAAAAATTATTTCAGTTGGTGCAATTTCTAAAAGGCAAACAAGTTCTGCTCACGTTCTCCCGTCGACTCCATCCTCGAGGCGACGTTGACAGTGTCACCAAACAGACAGTACCGGGGCATCTTCAGGCCGACCACGCCGGCCACACAGGGCCCCGAGTGAATGCCAATGCGCAACTTCAGGTACTCCCCGGGTCGGTGGGCGATTTCAAAGTTGAATATCTCCTTCAGCAGATGAATGGCCATAGAGGCGATCTGGCCGGCGTGCTTCTCGCCGTTTCGAATTGGCAGTCCTGAAACGACCATGTAGGCGTCGCCTATTGTCTCCACTGTTTCAATTATGACAAAAATATCACAAAGAGTGAATCAGTAAAGTACAACTTTTATTTACCCTTGTAAACGTCGTAGTTGCCGATGATTGAGTCAAAGCAGGTGTACAGGTCGTTCAGCAGATTGACCACCTTGAATGGAAAACAAATGAAGTGAACGCAAAGTTAAACACAAAACTACTTTCATACCTGAATTGGAGTGCTCATAGCTGACAGTTCAGTAAAGCCGACGATATCACTAATTTAAAATGAGAGCAATGAGTTGAAAAGAAAAATGCTCATTTGCCAAAAACGTACCTGAAATAAATTGTCACAGATTCAAAGTATTCCGCCTCGACTGGCTGCCCTCGTTTCAGCTGTTCAGCAGCTGATCTGCCAAACAAAAACAAAATTTTTTAGCAAACTTTTAAAAAGTCAAAACAATTTACTTGGGCAGCATTCGTAGAAGCAGATTCTCCGTCTTTTTCTTCTCCTCCAACAGCTGCTTGGTTCGCTCTTGAACGAGTGATTCCAAGTTTAGAGAGTACTTGAGTAAAAGATTGTCAAAAATGTTTGGATTTCTGCAAATGTTTCGTCAGCACAAAAGGTCCAAAAAAAGTCGTAGAAAATATCACTCACAGTCCAGACTGCATTTCTCGCAGGCGAATGTTGATAAAGCGAAAGTCAGGCCTTTCTTCGGGCTCCTCTTTCCAGCATTCTTCAATCTAGTACGATCATTTAGTCTTTGGCTATTAATTTGATTAGCTCACGAGCATCAAATTTCCACACTTACACACTTTGACATGTACAGCGGACACTTGAGCTTCTCCACATTTGGCCTGAACGGCTGCCCGTGAAGCTGAGGATTGACGATACGATGCAGAATTTCCCTGCTGTGCAAATTAACACCCTCAAATGGATTCCTCCGTGAAATGATTTCAAAGAGAATGAGCGCAAAACTGAAAAAGAATGCAAAAAAAGTTTCAGTTTAAGTGCTATCACGTTTCAGCAGCAGAAGTTGTTTTACGAGTAGACATCGCCTTTGGGGGTGCCCTTTGACTGAAAGTTGGGACTTCGCAGCAGTTCCGGTGCACGCCACAGAAGGTCTGCCAACAATGAAAAGAAAAGAAAAGATGTCAAATCAATGCAACACACAGGACACCAAACAAAAAGAAGACACTTACTCATCTCATCGGGATCGTGCGGCATATCCTGGCCCGACTTGAACTCGTGCAGTCCATAGTCGGAGATCTGCAGCACCCATCGGCTGTCAATCAGACAGTTCGACGGCTTAAGGTTCCCGTGAGAGCCGATTTCCGAGTCGTGCAGATAAATCATTCCCTAGAGTAAATTGTAGTGCCTGTTCGTTAATTGACAGCTCAATTTAGTGCTCTGATTAATGTGCGTGTCAGGCATCATCACATTGACTAGAGATTAGGGCTAGATTGTCTAGAGTCTATAGACTGTCAGAAGTGGCATTTCAGTTAACCGATTACTACTGTTGAGTTGCCCAACAGCAGAAAGAAAGAAACTTTCGTCAATCTCTTTACGCCAAACTAAATATAAAGCACCAAAATCTTACTTACCTTAATGAGGTCAGCCACCAGCGAGGCGACGAACATGTTGTCCAGCTCCAGATCTTTATTCTTAATAACGTCCTGCAAGCAAGCAGTTGGTCACACTTTGTTTTGCTGTAAAATAATCTTAAACAACAACAAACCTCTAAACTGCCGCGAGCACAGTACACGGAAAGGAGAAAGATGTTCGGTGCGTCAATGCTGGCCCCTATGAAGGAGTTGATGTTCTCGTGGCGCATTTCTCGCATCTGAAAAAATGTGCACTTTAAAATTGATTTGAACATTGTACCAAAAAAATCTCTCACCTGTATCAACTCTTTACGAACGTTGCGCGTCAAATCAATGGACTTCTTGAAGATTCGCTTGATGAAGACAACACTGCCCTTGTAGACGCCAATGCCAAAGTTCCGCTGCTCAAACAGATCACTCAAGGGAGAGTTCTCCGACAGCTCGGCCTTGCTCATGGTGCCATTGGAGAAGGCGCTGATTCGCTTGACGCCCGGAATCTACCACAGTCAAAATAAGAAAGCGGAAAAAATGAGCATCAAAGGTAACTTGTTTTGTTTTGTTGTTTTGTGTGTGTGTGCAAAAGTCCATGCGATTACATTGATTGTGTTTCTAATGTTCTGCAATGCAGCCTCTGAGTTGGTGTTGATCACCACGAGGTCCTTCAGCTCGACCTTCCACAGTAGCCTCGTCAGCTTGTACTCGTAGTGGTAGTGCCTGTAAGGCAAAAAAGGTTTTTATGCTTAAACTTTTTTTTGAAAACACCTTACTTGAATACGAAAAAGACGCACACGAGCGAGAAAACGAGAACAAAGACAAGACAGACCATCACCTGAGTGCTCAGGCCATGGTCGCACCGCTCATTGTAGAAGCCACATGAGGGCTCGCTTAGAATTCTGCAGTGATACAAAACAAACTTTTAATCGACTTTTCAAACTAAAAACTCAGTAAACTTACGGCCCATTCCCGTAGAACAGTAGGTCTTGCGCCAAATTGAGCACCGGTATTTGGTGTTCCGTCTGCTGAAAAACGCCTACCATTTGCATTTCAATGGAGCCATTCTTGATCTCCATCGTCAGCAGGGTGTAGTTGCCTTCAGTCTCTCCTGTTGATAATAAGAGGTGTGTTTAGTTAAAAACTTGGCCATCACACAATTTGACACAATTGTCACCATTTTGGTCAATGTGCAAGTTGAATCCTAGAATGCCTGTCACAAAAAAACAAAAAGAATTGTCACATTTGTCACGTTTCAAAGATTCCAATTCCAATTACTTTTAAAACTAAGATTCTTCATCGCCTCAATGACCTGCTTCCCACTGTTCACATCTCCGCCGTTCTGGAGCACCTTGTGGAAGGCCTTCGCGAGGATCACCACCGAGTCGTAGGCGAAACCGGCAAAGACGGGCACCTTGATGGCGATGCTCCGATGGTAGGGAATGCGAAATGGCTTGATGTGACTGCGCCGATTGACCTCCCGCTTGAAGTCGCTGTAGTTGAGGTTGGAGGGCGGCGTCGAGGCGATGACCAGCAGGCCGCGCAGATCGAGCGTCTGACTGGCCGTCCGCTGCGTCAGATGTTGCTTGCTGAGGTAGGTGCCCTCGGTCGCCGAGAAGGGCATCTCCTCCTCGACGGCGATCACCGTGTACAGGCCACTGCTCAGCAGCCGCCGCCGGCCGCGCTCCATGGCGCTCATGAACATCGACATGGCGAAGGTCTCCGTCAGCAGAATGTACACTGGGTAGAGTGTTTTTTAGTCTTGATGTGTTTTTACAAATGGCAACAACAAAAATCTACCTACCTCTGGTCTTGTCGTACGTCTTCTCGATGATCTCCTCAATGTCCTTCTCGAACTTGCTGAGAAAGACGCCCGGCAGGTAGTGCGCCGAGGTGATCTGAATGTCGTTCAGCGAGGCGAGCGCCACCAGCGACTCCTCCATCTGCTTGTTGGTCGGGTTCTCGGAGACGATGAGCACCACCTGAGGTGAAAAAGAGTGAGAAATTTTGGTTTAATTTAGAAGTTTGAACATTGGGTCACTCTCTTAAGTACACTTAGTACCTTGCTCCAGAGAAAGTGCTTCAGCAGTGAAATGACCGACTTGGATATCTTTGAGCTCGGCGGCAGTGTTCGCGCAAAAGTCGGGTAGACGGTCTTGTTGGTGAGATTTTGATCGATGCACTTCTGTGAGGGGTGAAAAAAAGACCGTTTTATTGCTGCAGGTGAGAAGACAGTGAAAAAAGCAGTGAACTATTTTGTGTTAGAACTGACATATGAAATAAGTGCCTTATTCCAGGCAGCTGCCACCAGCGCCTCGCTGGCACAGCTCTCATCAGGCCCCACAAAGGCCGCAACTTTGTCCTTCATTTCGGTCATCTTCTGAATGCTCAGATAGCTGCCCGGCTGGCCGCATTCGCCCACTGTGGGAGGAAGAAAAAGAGAAAAGAAAGTGTGCATTATGATGAAACACATGTTTCTCTAACTGCTCCAGAAAAAGTAATAAGTTTGCACTCTTACCAATAAATTCCAGCGTATGATTTGGAAGAATGCTGTGATCTCTAAGTGGGAGAAAAAAGAAAAAAATCGATTAGGTCAGCTAATTTAGCAACCAGGAGCTCAACTCCTGAAGTGATTCCACAATCCATCAACCACTTGTAATCGGTGATTGTGTCACAATTTTTTTTCGGTAAAAAAGAAAAGAGAGAAAAAGGCCATCTTCAATCAGCACTCGCATTTATATTACTGGTTAATGTGATGAATGGCGAGCGGTATCGCCCCGGCGATGTTCTTCCCCTGGCCGTAGCGAAAGGAGCTGAGAAAGCCAATTCGAAGTGGATCAGAAGTGGACGATGGTAGAGAGCTGCCGCTGGACACTGTCTGCTGGACACTGCTACTACTCGCTGACACGCAAACGCCGACAGTGACAGTACTGAGCAGAAAGAGCTGCATTAGTGCAGATGATGGCGGTTTCATTGCCACCACCACCATCACTGATGAGGATGATGATGATGATGATGGCGCTCACTCCTTTGGCTCGGGCGCCGGTGCTTTCAGCTGCAGTTGAACGGGAAGAACACACAGCGGAACAGCAGCCAGCAAATGGTTGCCAGTGCGGCGAGACAGCTTGCTTTTATGACATCTCTCGGCAGCCCAAAGAGCACAAAGGGCACCACTGCCGCCGCAGTCGTCGCCGCGAATAATGGCCACTGGCAAATTAATCGACTACCAAGTGGAGATGTATTAGTGGCAGTCGTACAAGGGTACGAGCAAGAGCAGGAGAATCAATTGAAACAGATAAAAGATGTCCATTTGCACTTGTAGAGAATCGGCAGTGATCGGCGGGGGCACAAGTGGAGAAAAAGAGAGAGAGAGAAAGTGAGTGCCACCCTGCACACTTTTTCTCTATCTGAGACTCGCAGGCAGGCACAGCAAACATCGTCCTCATGTCAGGAGCAATTTGGCACCGACTGGTCGCCGTCTGCGCTAATCTCACCCGACACTCTCTTCTCGCCTGCTAAGTCCCACGCCACCACCAGCACCAGCAGCATTACCCCGCTGATGGGCTCAGTGAGTGGCACTGCTGCTACTGAATGCGAACACTGTTGCTCGACAGAGTGTGTGGTCTGTATATAGACCCGATCAAAGCACACAGACACACACAGGCTTGGTAGTGAACAGCAGCAGCAGCTCATTTTCATAAATCAGCCAATCATTAGAATATTCAATCAGTTGGACCGAGTACTGAGTACTGAGGCTGCCTCTCATGTTACTTCGGGTGATGATGATGCTGCTGGTGCTGTTTCTGGCGACACTGGCGTGAGTGCGTGTGTCTGTTCCATTGGGACGCACTGAATGCAAAATAAACTGCCGTACTGCAGCAGGGCTCTACTTTGTGTGATCCGATCAGATGATGGAAAAGAAAGAAAGAAGAAAAACATGTTTTCCACATCCTTTCAGTCCTCTTCAGTTCTCTTTTGAGGCGGGCGTCCCTTCTTTCCTTCCTCATTCCTTTCATCAACTTGATCATTTGCTTACCGACGGAGGCGAGCCAACAAAAAAAGAGAATCTGCAAAAATGCATATTGGTTTCAATGATAATGATAATGAACATAATAAAGATGTAAAGAAGAGTTCACACAGCAGTTTGGGGGGGGGCAAAAAACTCATGAGCCTAAAGATGAGCCTACTTTTTCCTAGTTCAGCAGTTGAGCACCAGCGACCACTTGGCCGGGTCCTGCTCCAGCTTGGGCGCCTCTCGTAGCATGTCATCTATGAAGGAACAAAAGATGTGGTGAGAAACAGAAAATGGAGCAAAATGTTCAGTCCTCCTCTACCTTCAGCCAGCCGCCTTTCAAAGAACTCGCCCTTCCAAATGTACTCGAGAGCGGCGGTGAACTGCGCGTGCAGCTGCTGCAGCTGTCGCTGAAGCGCCGCCGACTGCTCCGCCAGCAGGAGATCGTAGAGGGCGAGGAGGAGGGCGCGAGAATCGGCCAATAAGGAGGTACTGCTGCTCGTCAGCAGCTCCCTGATGGCGAACACCAGCTGCAGGTCCTCATTGGGGGAGCCCCGCTTGACGGGCACGTACTTGCGCTGCTCCAGCCGCTTCTGCTTGCGAGCATAGCCGGCGCTCCGGCTCTTGTTCGTCTTCAGACTGCTCGCCGAGTGGCCACTGTCCGAGGACTTGAGCGAGGCGGTGTCGAGGAGGCTGCTCGTGTCCGAATAGCAGTCGGATTCAGTCTCAAAGTGATGTCCTCCACTGGCCCCAGCTTCCTGGGCATTTAATCGAGCCGCCATCACCACCTCCTTCAGCCGGTCCAAATGCCCGGTCAGCTGCCCTGCCGTCCTTTCAATGGCGCCCACCGTCGACTGGTACGCCTCCTTCAGCTCGGGCACAAGGTGACCTTCGAGCAGCTCCTTCCGGACGTCCACCTGGCGGTCAAAGTGGTCGTGAAGACAGCGCAGCGCCTGCTCCCACTGGCGCCCTCGCACCAGCGTGGTGAAGGCCTCCCTCGGCTGGTGCAGGTAGTGCTCCTGAATGTAGGCGCCGGCGGTGTGGGCGCCGTTGAGCACCAGCTGCTGGGCCACCGGCCCAATGTGCCGCTCAAAAGCGGCTGCTGCTGCCTCCTGCTCCTCTTCTCCGTCTTCCTTCCCCTCCAGCCTGGCCATCTGCCGAGCGCAAACACTGGCCATGCTCCAGTTGCCCTCCATCAGGTACATCTTGAAGGCCTGACCGTGGTTGGCCGCCCGCCGAAAGGCGATCGCCGCCTCCTGGTAGTACTTCTTCTTGAACAGATAGTCGCCGTACAGGTTCCAAATGGGACTATATTTAGCCGCAGCCTCAGTGGAGCTGCTGCTGTTCAGGCCGTAAATTTCAATGGCTTCCCTGAATAGGTGCCGCTGTTCAATCAGCTCCAGTGCCTCCTCAAACCGAGCACCACCACCACTGCCATCACTGTCACCGCAGCGGCTGAGGTGCGTCAGAGCACTTCGCCACCGCTGNGAGCTGCTGCTGTTCAGGCCGTAAATTTCAATGGCTTCCCTGAATAGGTGTCGCTGTTCAATCAGCTCCAGTGCCTCCTCAAACCGAGCACCACCACTGCCATCACTGTCATTGCAGCGGCTGAGATGCGTCAGAGCACTTCGCCACCGCTGGAGGTGCATGTCAATTCTGTACCGCCGGTACTCCTCCTCCTCGATCGCTTTGAACCCGTTCACCAGCGGAATGTACTCCTTGGGGTCCTTGTTCGACCTGCCCGCCACCATCAGCAGAATGTCAAAGTCGTAGGTGCCCAGCGCCTCGTCAAACAGCCGGTTGACGTTCACCACGTAGAGCATGTACTTGATGGCGCTGTCTCGAAGTTTGCCGCTCGGCAACGCCTTCACCACCTGCAGCGCCTCCGCCAGCTCCGGCCGCGCCTCCTTCTTGATGTACGTCAGCAGCAGGGCGTTCAGGTACCGCTCCTGTTGCGTCTGCTGGTCATCGCCGCCCATCAGGACTTGCATCTTCTCCCGCAGCAGCTCGCAGACGGTGTCCACCTTCCGGGCAATCTTCGGCGCCTCCGCTTCGGTCTTTCCGTTCAGGAGGCAGAAAGCGTTTTCAGGCGAAAGCTCCGATAGAAATAGGCAGATCCAGTCGCTGTGCTTCTCGCCAATCTGCTGCAGAAAGCGGTCGCTGTTCGCCGTGAAGAGGGCAAAGTCAAAGTCGCACAGGTAGTTGAGGTTGATGCGATTCTTGCGCAGCAGCTCAAAGGCGCGCAAAAAGTCCAGTTCTCGCAGGTGCTGCTCCACCTTGGAGAGAACCAGGAGGCGCGGGTGAAAGGCCTCCAGGTTTCCCCGGGGCATCTGCAGCACCACCTTCGCCTGACCCACCGAGGCGGCGATGATGCGGGCGCCCTTCTCCAGGTTGCGCGGCGGGTACGCCCGAAACATCTGCACCGGATCAAAGTTCTTCCCCAGTGGCCAGCAGTAGAAGAGGCTGCTGCTGGTGGAGAAGAGCAGGTACTTGCTACTTTCGGCGCCGCCGTACAGCATCGCCGAGTTGACGATGCAGCTGAAGAGCAGGTGGTGGTCGTAGTAGAGCGAGTTGCGCACCGTGTGGCAGATAATGTGCGGCTCGCCGTCCTTCTCGTCGTCGTCGTCGGAGAACGTCCACAAATGCAGTGGCCGGTCGTCGTAGACGGGCGTGGTGGCGCCCGTTTTGGGGCGGTACTCGGTCAGGATGTTCTCCTCCTGCTCAGTATCTGTCGAGCTCTTCTTTTCAATGTCAAAGCAGAAGAGCCGTCCGGTGGTGTTGGCCAGCAGGAG